CAACAACAAGAACAAGAACAAGAACAATAACAATAACAACAACAACAACAACGAGAAGAAGAAGAAGAAGAAGAAGAAGAACAATAACAAGAACAAGAACAAGAACAACAGCAACAACAGCAACAACAGCAACAGCAACAACAGCAACAACAAGAACAACAAGAACAACAAGAACAACAAGAACAACAAGAACAGCAACAGCAACAGCAGCAACAACAACAACAACAAGAACAACAAGAACAACAAGAACAACAAGAAGAACACGAAGAACAACAAGAACAACAATAACAACAAAAATAACAAGAACAACAGTAACGACAGTAACAAAGAACAAACGACAACAACAACAACACCAAGTCAAAAATCAGGCAAAAGAGGGAAAACTAATGAGTAGGACGGAAAAATGGATGAACAACGCTAGAAAAGCAACGGCAAATATAGAAAAACATAGAAAAACAATGCAAAAGCGAAGAAAAACAAGAAAAACCATCGAAAAACTGAGGGAAACGCTAGAAAAAAATTGAAAACTATGGAAAACTGATGGAACGCGCTAGAAAATCATAGAGAACTATGGAAAATGGAGGGAAACGCTGGAAAACTAGCGAAAACAATTGGAAAATTGATGAAAACTGCTGGAAAAACAATGAAAAAACAAGGAACCCAACCCCGAACCCAAAAAAAAAAATGCAAAAAACAATGCCAACTTAATTCCGCGCCCCATATATTCTGACATTCTGTCTGGCATTCTTTCTGGCATTCTTTCTGACATATATTCTGACATTCTGTCTGGCATTCTATCCGGCATTCTCTCTGACATAAATTCTGACATTCTGTCTGGCACGTGTTCGGGTCCAGGTGTGGCCCACAGCATCTGGAGCTGGCGGTGGGGTGCACACTGCATCCGGAGCTGGCAGAGGAGGAGGTGAGGAGGAGAAGAAGGAGGAGGAAGGAGTTACATCTTCGTTAAAACCTAGAGACCCTCACCTGGCAGGCGGGGAAAACCATACAATTGGCAGGTTGCATTCACATTTGCGTTTGCGTGTCCTCGATTCACATGAAAAGAGGCGAAAGGACCGAAAGGGTTAGTTTTTACGACGGATTCCAATATGAGCTAATACGAACGGGGCCGGCAGAGAACAGATAGAGCTGCCTTGAGACAATTACATCATGTTGACCCAGGATGAATCAACCCCCAGTGTATTCATAGGGGGCTTGCGAATTTTAATCGTAATTATCGTAATTGATTTCACTATTTTCAGGTTTGTTAGGGGGCATTACCCCCCAGGTAGCAGTGTTTTCGTCTCCTCATGGGCAGCCGAGAAAGTGTTGGGTGATATTGGGTGATATTTTCAATGGTGTTCAAGAAACCTGTCCTTCATGTACCCTTCACCTTCTAATTTCAATCATGTGTGCGGATAATCACCCCCGAGTGTCAAAGTTGAGAATATTTGAGGGTATTGCGTATGAGGTGTCCGCACCATCACAGCTGCAGGGAGGACCGACATGTTCACCTTGATTTTCTGTGGCGTCTGTCGCTGTTTTATTTGCGGGGCTTTAACTTTCTTCGGTTGTTGTGTGTTACTTGATTACTTGAGTAACGCAGAAGAGCTCCCAACGCAGGACCAAGTTCATTCACGGAGGTGATCGAGACAGTGCAATTCATGCTATTTTTGCCAATGCACTCAATGTAGCAGTGCTAGGAGAACTTCTCGCTGCACAATTGGCTGTGACATCGTAGTGCATCGGTCCCCGACACTCATTTCATTGGTTGATGAGGTCCCAAAGATTCGTGTTGGGTTCCTGCCAGACCAGGATAGCAGCATCAAAGCAAGACTTCAGTGTCACTAAATGAACATTCATACAGCTGCTTCTGTGAGAATTTTAGTGAGACGGAAATCTTGGTGCAGCTGGAAGTAACAGGTCTCAGTGCCTTTAGCCTCCAAGGTGAAAGGGAGAACCGTGTTGTTGAAGTTTTCCGCAAGTGGATTCTGCCAGCATGGACAGTTTCCACTTCTTGTAAGTTGTGCCAGGTCAAGTCACACGTGCCATTGTTCGCATGGCCATCTGACTGAATGTATTCATGCTTCTGGGAGGCCTGTTTGTTTACTTGCCACAAGCTCGGTCCAACGTACGAGACACAGCTCAACCATACGAAGTTTTGCTTCACAATGAGAGCTCTGCAGTGAAGGGGGCCTACGGCAACATGGCAACGCAAACACTTACTGCTTCAGTTGGCCTCAAGTAGAGGAAGTATTGGGCGTTCTTTTGTCATGCGGGCCCTTGCAGGCTTGTGTGTTTCTCGGCTCAGTGGGCTAGCAGCTTGCAGGAGAGATTTTCGACGCCAGCGGCACCAGTTTGGTGTCAACAATTATACCTAAGTCCCGTACCCCCAAACATCCATTGCAGGTGCCACCAGAATTCACAGTGTGCCTCCATTTGTCAGATTGGTCCGGGAAATTCCTGGAAAATGGCCTCGACC